AAAAAAATAGATATCAAATGCCTTGATTAAGCCACGAGCACTTGTTTTAGAGGATTAGACCTTTGATAAGGGGTAAGTAACTTGATTGATTCCTAGAGGTTGAAGCAGTCAAAAATAAGGAGAATCCTCATTTGTTGACATGTGGAACTACAATTAGTAAAATCTAACCAAACTTGAGTGGTGTAAGAAATTAGTATTGAAGATTTAACCTGAGGTTACACCCTTGGAAAGAGAAAAGAAAATAAGTTTGGGGTGTGTGAATCCCACGAGCGAAGTAAGGAAAAATTTGACTTCTATGGTCGGGAATTGGGTCAACTTATTATTGTACAATGTTGCACTTGACTCTCCACACACACATACCCGTTGTGCATTGAATAGGCGAGAATTTAACTTTTGCAATATAGCTTTGAAGTGGTTCATGGAATCGAAGTTATATTTTTAATTCTCAGGCATGAAGGCAAGCTATCTAGCGAAATTTATTTTAAGTGATTTTGTTTGTCTAGGTTGTGCTTGTGTGTCCATTAATTATTTTTATGGGTTTTGGTGTTTGCTCGAGGACAAGCAAAAGATTAAGTTTGGGGGTATTTGATGAGTGATTTATACTCATTATATTATGCCATTAATTTCATGATTTTGCTATCTTGGAGAGTATTTTAGAAGTGCTAACAAGTGATTTTGGTGTTGTTTTGTAGATTGATGGAAATGGAGAAAACTAGAGCTAAAAGAGGTCAAATGAAGGAAATAGGCAAAAACTAACGAAATTGGATGAAATGACCAAAACGTAAGAGATCCAAAGTTCGAGAATTAAAATGCAATTAATCAAAAGTCGTGTCGAAACTTGAAATGAAGATCCGAGAGTTCTAGAAGCCAATTGGACAAAGGAAGGTGTCAAAGGGATCAAATTTAGTCAAGATATGATCATAAATCATTTTCCAACCAAAAAGTTTTGCGCCGAAGTTTTCGTCTCATATTTAGACTCATTTTTGACATAGAAAACGATCGAATTGGAGAATTGTTCCTGAAGAAAAATTGTAGTCCTTTGAATTAGGTTTCCAACGCATCTTGAATCACTTCAATTGGATATCGAACGAAAAAGTTATGATAAAAATACTGAAAGCTGTTCAGTGCAACCGAAGTAGCCCTCAGCGCCTAGGCGCCATGATGCTGAAATTTTGACAGAAAGTCAGCGCCTAGGCGCCCAAATCGCAGCGCCTAGGCGCCGCCGTGTGAGAGTAATTTTTTTAGGTTTTTACCATTCTTTTTCGGCCCAACTCATCTCCAAATCTTTCCCTAAACTCCAAGACAATATAAACACAAGATTGAAGACCTAAAGGAGGGGGGGCCGCACACTAAAAATCTAGGGGATCAAGCCACGCGTTCTTGACATATTGGAGAGAAAAACAACAAGAAGGGAGATTCAAGGGAGAAATTTAAGAAGATTAACACCAAGAATTGAAGATTGGAAGCACTCATTGGAAGAGGAAGGAGATCTTGGTGCAAGAATTCCACTTTTTCTTCCACATCTTTATTTCAAACTTGGTGATGTATTCTAAGACAATCTCCTATTTTTCTTCCATTATTATGAGTAGTTAGATTTCATGTTAGGGCGAACAATGTAATCTTTTGGAACCCTTTATTTCATGCAATTGAGATTCTAGTACTTTTTTATTTCATGTGTTGATTTTAATATTGTTTTTAATACATTTAATTACTTGATCACTAATTAGATGATTTGTGAACAATGATTGCGTAAAGATGCGGATTATTAGTTTAGACCACATGTTAAAATCCGGTAAATTGATATAATGTGTAGAGATACCTATATTGATTGCTGCGGTCGGGTGTGAATTCTTAGAACTAATGTTTCGTTTAATTAAATTTAATTTGCATAGAGATATTGAATTAAACTAATTAAGTAGGCTCAATGAGAACTCGAGAGGGGTAAGTTGAATACAATAGAAGAATTCGACCGAACACTATCTTAGGTTTTATGAATCTTGATTTATGAAGTAAAGGTGACCAATAGGTGAAATTGTTCCGCCCTAACATCCATTTATTGTTTCAATTCTCAATCACTTTTCATTGAATCCAATCACATTTTTAATTCTTTAGAATAAAAATCACATTTAATCATTGTTTTTGATTTACATTCGTTAAATAGTAGCTAAAGAAAGATTAAATTAAGTGCTACAAAATAGTCCTCATGGGATCGATAACGGGACTCTTAGGTCCACTATTACTTGTTACGGATCGTACACTTGCGAAACAAAATTTTACAACAAGTTTTTGGCGCTCCTTGGATGTGGTCTGGTATCGAATGAGGATACGGAGACATTTGTTTGGCTCTTTCGAACCTGGCTGCAATGCATGCATGGACAAGCTCCGCATGGGATAGTTACGTATCAGGATAGGGCTATGCAAAATGCAATACAAATTGTGTTTCCTAATACAAAGCATAGATAGTGTTTGTGGCACATATTGAAGAAGTTGCCTGAGAAATTCGGATACCATGTGGATAAAGGGTCTATATTCAGTACTATACACAATTTGGTCTATGATTGTCAGTTTGTAGAAGAATTTGAAAATGCCTGGAGAGTGATGGTGGAAAGGTTTCACTTGTATGATAATGAGTGGTTGGCGGGTTTGTACGAGAACAGAGAACGTTGGGTACCTTGCTATCTAAAAACCACATTTTGGGCAGGGATGTCAACTACTCAACGCAGTGAGAGTATGCATGCATTCTTCGACGGTTATATGCATTCAAAGACGACATTAAAGCAATTTGTTGAAAAATATGAACAAGCATTGAGAAATAAGGTTGAGAAGGAGTTTCAAGCAGACTTCAAGTCCTTCTCGCAAATGGTACCGTGCGCATTGAGATATGAAATTGAGAAGCAATTTCAAGCAGTTTACACAATTTCAAAATTTAAGGAAGTTCAAGAGGAGTTCACAGGTAAAATGTACTGCGACGTTGTTTCTGTCTCCGAGGGATTATCGGGGGCAACGTACGAGGTACGGGAGGATGTAATACATGATGAGCATTCGAAGAAAAAAAGCTTTTTCGTCTCAGTTGAAAGAGGCAAATGTGAAATCACTTGTAGTTGCCACAATTTTGAGTTTCGAGGGATTATTTGCAGACATATGATCGTAGTATTGGCCCATAATGACGTGAAATCTATACCCGAAAGATATATACTACGGAGATGGCGACGAGATGTCAGTAGGGCCCACACAAGGGTACCAGTGAACTATGATGTTTGATTAGTATGCCAGGGCAATTAAAGTACGACAAGATGTGTCAACGCTTTGCGACATTGGCAGATCTGACAGTAGAAGATGACGCGAAATCTGATGCAATAATTGATTGGATTGACAGCCAATGTGAAGAGTTGATGTCAACAAATCCTGGTAATAGTAACATCCTCTCCCCACAGACGACACAGACATCATTCCACTGTGAAGCACCACTGGATACTGGAAGTGGTGACATAAGGGATCCAGAATGTGTGAAAAGAAAAGGTACCCCAAAGAAACTTCGGAAGAAGAGCCCATTAGAAACCATGTCGAGAAAATTCAAGGTAATAATGAAATGATGCCTATTTTCATTTGTTGTTAACTCAAAATAGAGATAATGTCTAACAACATTCCTTATTTTGCAGGCAAGTACGGGTTCTAGCAAAGGGAAGAAAAAAAAGGTTCCTAGCAATGATATGGGAATGGTTGTAGCGCCCATCCTCCAGTTACCTCATTAACAACACATGCCGCTACCCTTCTCCTATACAAACCTTCTTTTGGTTAGCATTTGTAATGATTTGATTTCAATGATAACGTACTACTTACTGATAATGCTATTTCACGCAAGGTGGGAACCTAAATCTTCAATTCATGCAACACTTGCAATCGACGTTTCTAAACCCTCCATCGGCAACTACTCTTACAATAAACATGCAAGGTGCGTAAGATCTTATGTAGAACTACTCTTACAGTAAACTTTGTTCATTATGTATATTTGTAGGCATCTAATGAACTACCTTATATGGATTTGAAATTTGTAGGTTTGGGAATGCATTTTGATGGAGGAAACACGGATTCTCCTACGGAAGTTGGACCATCTATCACATTATCAAACCCAAAAGATGCACCCGGTGGTCATTTTGTGTAGTTTATTGGTTGCTTTCCAATAGTTTGTAATTTACTCGTCATTGTGTACTTGCATGGGTTTGTATGAATCATGAATAAATCTAATGTATTCAAATGGTCCTCTTCGACGTTAAACCATTAAGTAGTGTTGAAGGGTTAATGATTCCATGAATCTTGATAGAAAGTGTAATGATTCCGTGTAATGATTCCATGTAATGTTTTAAGATGTTTCTCTTGGATGTTCCTTTTCAATAGTGTAATGATTCCATGGTCTTTGCCTTGCCTTGCCTTTTAGAGCATGTTTGATAGGTCACGTTGATGAAGGAAAAGATGGTAAATTTATGTCCAATAGTGTGAGCAAAACAAATCAATGTAAACTTGGCAGGTTCAATAAAGTTGTGTTTGTATTATTGTAAGAAGTTTGGTGGTATGTAACTAACTCAATATACTATTGTGGAAATCTGCAGAGAAGATAATGAAATACAGTTAATATAACTGTTGTAAAAGAAATTAAGTGCAGGAAAGTTTAATAAATCTTGTGCTGACAACCCAATTTTAATAGATTTAATAGGTAAAAAATGTTTAATTTGCATTTCATAACTATAATTTACATATTTTGATTTCGAGTTTCTATAAGAGCTGAAGAAAATGATAAAATATCGACATCAATTATGTGCAATGTCCGGTCAGTTCCCCCATCTCTAATGCCTGAAGAATTGCTTGATTTGGCAGTGAAATGTGCGAACTGATTCAATGGAAAAACCCGTTTCGAAAACTTTGCAGAATTCCAGATAATTATGCCATGAACGATAACGGAAATAAACACAAATAATACTGTGAAATCAATGCCAAACTTTCGGCTCCATACTTCCTAATTAAACATAGTTCATACATGAAAATAGATTCAAGTGAACAATTACATTACATTACAGCCTAGTCAATTACATTACAGCCTAGTCAATTTAATTTACATAATTGGAGTTGCAAGTTTTTTTGAAATGAAAACACTTTAGCTCAGGCCGAGGACTGTCCATTCTTCTCCCATTTGGTGACGTGCTCTCCTCTTTTGCTTATAGTCACGTTCATAGCAATCTTCATGTCTTCATCACCAGTTAACCGACATCGTGTTTCGAACATGCAAGATAAATCCCGAATGTTGGTGACTGAACTCGATTCAGCACCCGTTTCAGTCTTTTTCACCCACTTCCAATAACCACATTTCAAGCTGCAAGTTTCAAATAGTTTGACTTTGTTCTCAGTGTTCTTCTCCACCTCGAAGCACTTCAAAAATGCATGTTTACACCATGAGCAAGGTTGTTTATTCGGGCATTCTGCGAAAAAACGTCCCTTCAATCTACAACTATGGCATATCCCATAATTCTTCCCTCTCATTTTAACCTGGGAAGCAAACACCAACCAAAATGATAATCACATACTCCCTCAGTCAAAACATGAAATGAATTAACATGACCATATCAAATAATCTCTCTCTGTCTGCAAGAAATACACCCATTACATTTCATAATTCCCACAATTTGTCACTATATTAACAACTTAACAGAGGCACTAGTGGAGGATAAGTTAACAGAGACTAGGAAAAACAATTTCGTCTATGGGAGGAGGGGCGAAGTACTGCAAGTTTCCGTCTTTCCTACTCCTAACATAATCTCCATTTTATTTATTCCACAAATGATGCAAAATATATTCTCACAAAGTTCAATCCCCAAGCGAACAGGTAAAAATTGGGAAATCATATAACAAATTACTTAACAGAAATTCACATATCTGCTAAAGAGAAAATCACATCGATGCAGAGACATTGACATTTTACAACAAAACCCTAAACGAAATAGACACAAGATGAAAGGATATGCCACAAATGCTCTGAAATCTAGGGTTAGGAATGGGCCACTGCTTCAGTGTTTCAGACAAAATTAAACAAATCAGAGCGAACTGAAGGTTATTTCGACAAATGCATTGAAGCATGAACTTCATAATTTATATGCCTGAGCTTTCTCTAGATGTGGTCGAACACAAATTTGCGATAGCAAGTACGAATCAACGAGAAGTGGCTGACCATAAGACTGAGTATGTCAAAAACATGGAAACCTTCAATGCCGACGGCGTTGCACCGAATCTCTCTGGTAATGGGTATCAATCGAGCAACCGGTGAAATTGCGAAGAGCAAATCTCCGTCTGATGTGATTTTGCGCGGCAGCTTCCGACGTGAAAATGAGGATGTGGGAATGGGCTGAAGGGTTTTAAAACAGGGACTTGGGTCGGGTTTGAAAATGGGCCGGGTCGAACCGGGTGGGTAAAAAAAATTCAAAGTATTGGGTTTGTGTTTTGGGCGCCATTTTGTAATTGTTTCCTTTCATTTTTCATTTTTTTTACAGCCAATTTCCAGCTCAATGTGTCAAGAAATGTGGCCATGTAGCATTATTGTTTAAAAATACAAATGTGGCTTCTGCAATCCACCACCATATTGACAAGTTCTGAGTTTTGGTTTTTCTGTTCATAAAATATTGAGAAATGATTATGCAAGTCAGTGACTGTTAATAGGAACTGTTGATAAATTGATATTATTACCCTCGGTCGTTAATGCACAACAAATTTGAAACTATAGACTACTAAAGTTAGATTTCAATATGGCATAAATAGTCAGAAAATCCCATTCAAATCAAACTTCGAATTAAAGCATCAATTTTATCATAAACGATGCTTTGTCTTTTCAGAAGTGAAGTTTCATAATTTATGGACAATTTTGCAGAGTTGAGATCACCAAATTGACAGAAACTAGTAACCCAATCGAGCAGAAGTTATTGGTTGAAACTCGTGTTAAGCAAGTGCCAATAAGTCGCGAAATGACCTCGAGTAGGGATATGATAGAAAAGCCTGCAGAACTTTTATATTCATGTATAAATGCAGAAGAAATTTTTGCATGAAGACGATAAAATTGCATCAACGGGGAAGATATACATAATAAAAATGAGAAAGCTAGAATTGAAATGGAAAATAAGAGAAAATTATAATCCAACAACTCTCCCACACGAGCAAAACTCACACTAGTGATTCAGGACTAAACTCTGCTAAGTGAAAATTTTCCACTTCTTGATGGGAGGGGCGAGGGGTGCAAGCTTCGGACAACGAAAAAAGAAAACTACAGCAAAACTATGCACTATAGGTACCAAGATCCATGAGCAGATGTCATTTGCGTATTATATTTATTTCAAACCAAGTTGATGAAAAGATAATGATTGGAAATTTGCTTACATCTCCTTCAAATGCAAGACGTTTGAATAACACTAACAGAAAGGTTTCTTGATTTTCCTCGTAGTTGTCAATAATGACCAATCAGATAAATGAGTTTCTAATTTAAAGTAAGCACTACAACATATCAAGTCTTCTATAACTTTTGAAAAATGCTATCTATCATGTTTTATAGCATTTTCCCAAATGCTATCGTAGGTGATGTTATTAAAATTCATACCTTTATTATAACGTTTTATAAATGCTATTATAAAGTGCTATAAAAACTTTTACATAACATTTTATTATTGTCATGGTTTTAATATTTATAGCATTCTTTTCGTGCAATCTTTTTTAATTCGATAGCATTTTTTGTTATAATTTTAGCTTTAATAGCATTTTTTAATCGTCATGTTACGTCTTCTATAACATTCTTTTTCATCATAATTTTCAATATTTATAGCATTTTTTGAATATAATTTATTATTTTTAATAGCATTTTTTTATTGTAATATATACATATTACATAGCATTCCTAATTCCTTAATTATCAAATGTAAATATTCATACTGAAAACATGAACAACAATAACGAGACCAATAATAAATTCCAAAACATTCATCAATATTATCTTGCAGAAATACACAAGTGTGGATATTCAATAGAGAAATATAATTATGTTTCGTCTTCATATCAAATACTAATTGCAATATATGCTTGAAAAGACAATAAACAAGATTAAATTAGAACAATCTCATTCGAGTTCTTCAACATGAAATTTCTTGAACTCTTGCAACAAGTTTGGAGAAGGCATCCGTCAAACCATCTTTTGCAATGGAGGAGCCTGGAAATCATTCATAACTCATCACAGATAACCTGAAAACTTGAATGAACAAATGTTTTTGTGTGTGCAAGATCCCACTGTTCTATAGCTTTACTCAACCACTTAAGTGCTCTCTAAATGTCGTGTATGTAGTAACATCAGTCAAGCACTTGCTCTCAACTGCATAATCAAACACTTCATAAGCATCAGCCAATGAATTTTGTTCAAGTTCAATATCATACTCTCTAGTTCTGATTAACGATTTTTCATTCAGTTTGCAACTTGTGAAACTGAAGAAGAGAAGCAAGCAAAGCACTTGTGAACTATATCTTGAACTCGAAGTTACCATTTTCTCTCATCAAGGAATCTTAAAAAAATTCTTGAAGATGACAAAACCAAATAGGACCAATTAATTTCAATATTTTCTTATGCAGACAAACTGCTTAATACGTGAGACTAGTACCATTCTTTCTTGAACCGTGAATGAAAACACAGAAGAGTGTTGAGGGGGTAACAAAAATTGCATAGTACCATAGATACAAAACTCAAAAATACATAATATAAGATTCTTCGGATAAGCTACTTGATCATCCTTAACATGAACAAAACGGGAAAGTATGATACGTACCAATAGAAGACATAATCTGCTACATAATGGAATGAGCTTCAAGTTCTATGCATATTGTCAGAGATTAAGTAAAGGACATGATAATAACTTAAATAAACTTGTTACATACAAATAATCAACCAAGGATGTTAGATGATTTGTAGCATGCATACATATGAAGTTTGACGCGCCACAATCCATATTCCATTTTCATCTGCTGTGAAAAATCATTGGGTTGCAATCAAATCCCACACCAATAACCATTCTCTCAAATATTAATAGAACCTAAATTGCACACTCGTGCAATACATTAAAGAAATTGTGTTAAATGATTGAGATTGGATGCTGACCCACATCACGAAGAGGAAAATCAAGGAATGCATGCTACACATTTTTAAGTGAAAACTCCTAGAAAGTTGGGGGAAAATTAAAGGTTGGACTTAAAATCAGAAATTAAATGTATGCTACACACAAATGCAAAACTTATTAAAAAATTAAACCCAATTGGAGAAGTGAGAACAATTGAGAAATAAAAGAAATTTTCTTTCTTTTTTTAAAACAAAAATAATATGCAAACAATCCAAAATTCCTATTTCACAATTAAATCACTGCACAAATTGGCAACTTACAGAAAAGTTTCAAAACCCTTTTGCAATCTGTCGGCACGAGGTGAGCAATCTGTTCACTCTTCTTGCAATCTTAATGGTGAATGAAAACCTAATTCCCACAGTTAGGATTTTTTTTGCCAAGGATGAAGGAAATGACAATCACAGGAACAGTAGGAAATTGAGCAAACCTTGAAGATGACTTGTAGGACTCAAATCTGCTAAACTTTGAGCAAGCGTTTAGAAAAATGCCCAAAACCTGATGAAATTAGAGAATTTTATCAGCGAGAGGCAATGGATTTGACGCGACGACAGAGAAATATAAAGGAAAATAAAAGGGTTAAAGCGATGGGAGGCGGGAGTGCGTGTGAAATATTGGACAAACGAGTTAATTATAAGCAAGCTGAACACTATTATATTCAATAAAGTATAATATTTATTTATTTAATAGCATTTTTAAAAATAAATCTATGATTAAATGTTATAAAAAGTAGAAAATGTTGTGGTGAAGGCAAGAGTTAACTTTTTTGCTTACATTAAGAAAAAAGATTAGGGTATTAGCTTTTACTTCTTTTAAGCTTAGCCAAACATGCTCTAAGAACGTAAAGAAAACAATGTAAAAGAATTCATTGACAACCCTTGATACAAAATCATTTTAATTGGAGAACCAATTATGCCTCTCGTGGATTCTTAATGTAACAGTTATAACAATGTCCTTGTGCAATTATGATCCAACTATAATCAATACAACCACACAAGAAATATCTAAATGATTTATCATTCCCTAGATGGAGGATGCAAAGTTGAGATCTCAAGCGGCATTTTCAGAGACAAATGAGTATGACCTACAATCTCATCTATTTCATCATCAAGTGAAAAGATGTATTTATATACATGGAATGCAACAAACCTACTGATAATAGGTAACAGTATTGTTAGGTTACTCGTTTCAGTAGATTTGATTGAATAAAAAAATATATATACATATTCATGTGGCTCAAACGTGATCAAAGGCACAAGTATCAATCCACTTTCGCAATTATTGTCTATACCACCAGGAATGATTACTCAATTATACAGTAGATAAATTTAATTTTAATTTTTTTGTAGAACTTTAAGCTATCGTCATCCTCATAATATTTGAATTTTACAATCAAACACGCACTGAATTTGTTGTTAAATAAAATTAAATCCAAATCTTAACAACGAATTTTAATTAAATCTTAATTTACTGTGAGTAATAGAAGACGTTTTGTAAAGGTGTGCAAAGGAAGTGACTACTAATTGCAATGAAACTCACAGTATATTTATTGTTAAAATTAAATTTAATTCGAATTTTAGCCCATGTTTGATGGCCATTATTCAAAAAAAAAAATGAGTTTTAAATAGTGATTTTTTGTAGAATGTGTAGCTAAAAAGTTGAAAAAAAAAATTGAGTTTACATGTAAAATATTTTATTGTATAAATGTGATTAAAAATGAGTATAAAAATTAAAGAGTTTTGTTTTAAAGAGAGATAAACGTTTGGTTTAATTTGGTTAAAAATGAGTATGAAATTATGGTTTAATTAAATTCAAATTTATAGTGAGCAATGGAATACGTTTTTCAAAATTTAGTGGTCAAAGTTCAACTATATCAAAGTTTAGTGACCAAAACTCAATCACCTTAAAATTTAGTGAGCAATAGAATACATTTTTCAAAATTTAGTGATCAAAATAAGACTGTCTAAAAGTTTTTATGTTGATGAGTAACATACAATGTTTTCCAAAATTCGACGGCCAAAAGACATTTTAAACTTCAGTGAGTAATCGAAAGCAGATCTATAAGCTCAATGACCACTGGAACCATTAACTCAAAATAATCAAAATGTTGGCACGTCTCGGTGGGACCCACCTTAGTGTGGGGACTTGTAATATTAACAAATCATTATGAAGGGAGTACCAGACTTCAAGCATTCATGATTGCGATCAATTGGCACCAATTCACTCATCCCTTAGAAATTCGAATGGCGTGGATA